ACCGCGAGGCGGAGGGAAGGGCCGCTCAGGGTGTGTCAGGCTGTTCTGAGTGCGAACAGGCATCGCAGGTGGGACTTAGAGGGCTGGATCCCACCCTCAAATGCCTGTAATTTTAAAATGCAGTGATCAGGCTGTTCGTAGGATGCACCTGTGCCCGGAGCTGCCGCGGGCGGGCTCCCGGGAGCCTCAGCACCGCGCTGTGTGCCAGGCAGTGTGCCCTCTCCGTTCACAGGGGACTGGGGCATAGAGAGGGCCAGCACCTGCCCCGAGGTCACACAGCCTCTCAGCTGGGTTCTCCACCTGGTGGCACCTGGAGGTCGGGGTTTACACAGGGCTGCTCCATGGCCCCCCGGAGACACACACTCACACATCCCGGCGCCTCCGCCCGCAGGACCACAGCTCCCACGCGAGCAGCGGGAGGTGGCGGGTCGGGGCTCCCCACCCCCAGCCGGGTGTCGGCGGCCTGGGAGCAGGAGGCCGAGGGGACGGGCGGGCGGGACGGGCGCCCTCTGGTGGCCGCTGCGCGCAAAGGCCGGGAGCGCGGTGTCCCCGGGTTCGCAGCCGGGAGGGGGCGACAGCGACCGGGGACCCCTGCTCGCGGGGCGCCGGGACCTCGCGCCGCGGTTTTTCCCCCACAGAAAGGAAGCTCACTGCTAGTGAAGCCGACCTTCTGCAGAATCAATACCATCGACAGGGGCACCGAGTGGGTTCACCGAGGGAGAAGCGCCCTCCCGCCCCCAGCCCCGCGGGAGCAGCGACGGAGCCGCGCGGGGAGGAAGCGGGGGCTGTTGTGGCGGCGGCCGCGGGGCCCCACCCGGGCGCGGGCGGATGGAGGGGGCGGCGAGGACGAACCGCGGAGGCCCCGCCCCTCTTTGTCCGCGGGCGACGCCCTGCCCGGGCCGCCGGGTGCCAGCCCCGCCGGGAACACCCGCCCCCGGAGGGGAGGGGCCTGGCTCCAGGTCCCCCACACATCCAGGACCGGACCCAGAGCGCGCCCCTTCCTCCTCCTCCCCCCCCCACCCCGGCCTCCTCCACCGGCGCGGGCGGAGGCGCAGAGGTCAGGGGGGCGCAGTGGCTGGAGAACCCCAGCACCCTGAGTTTTAAAAGCGCCCCTCTTTGCAGAGGCCGGTCAGAGGCGCCGCCTTCTGCGGTGGAATCAGAACAGAAAGGGTGTTGGCTGCGGCGCAGGTGCTGGCCCGAGGCTCAGGCACCCGCCTTGGAGGGTCAGCGGCCGCCCCGGCGGGGGGTGGGGGGGGGGTGGGCCTGCCTCGCCTTGCAGCCCAGGGCGGGAGCGGGACAGACACAGCGCTCCCGGGAGCAGCAGGAGGTGGCGGGTCAAGGAGTGGGGGTCTCCCTAGGGAGAGAAATGGGGGCGCCCCTCGGCGTTCTCCAGAACCTGGCCCGTGGTAGGTGCTCCATCGATAAATACCTACTCTGAGTTGCAGGACGGAGGTGCGACCTGAGCCGGGCGGGCGCTGGCTGAGCCGACAGGGGTGGAACGATGGGAGGGGGTTGTCCTGAGCCTGGCAGGAGCCGGGGTGGGGGTGGGGGTGACAGGGTAGCAAGGCTCCAGACTGGGTCTCCGTGGAGAGAAGGGTGGCCGGGCAGGGACGAGGTGGAGGGCAGTCCGAGGCCTGGCGTAGGGTCCCCGAGGGCAGTGGGGCCCGAGCGTGGCCCCCCAGGCGGGCGAGGCGGCGGAAGGAGCGTCCCTGCGTGCGGAGTGTTTACTGCACGGAGCCGAGCCCTGCGCCGCAGCACCTGTTGGCCCAGGCGGGCGGCCCCGCTGCTCCCCGGCGCCCCCTAGAGGCTGAGGATGGTGGCGTGGGGAGGGCTGCAGCCACAGCCCCAGCTGTCAGCTGTTTCGTGTACCTTTTGTCTTAAAACTTAAAAAGGCGAACAGTAAGGGTTTGTACAAGGAAAGGCCTCCTCCCCCTTCTTTCCCCCCCTCCGTCCCCAGAGGAGGGTGTCCTGACCAGCACCCCTCCCCCATACACTATTTTATTTTTCCCCCCCCATACATTTTTAAAACTGTGTGAATAATAGGCCAGGTTTGGGTCTGTTTCTTTTCGTGACGAACCACACTGTAACTGGTGCTCTTTAACGTGCCTGTTGGAGACGCTCCCCGTCCAGCAGGCTCGTAACGCACATCCCGTAAGACCCCATCGCGCCCGTGTTCGCCATCTGGACGGCCATGGGGGTTGCTGCATTCCGCTGTTGTCATCAGGCCCAGAAGTGCCCAATAGATGGCGCCAAAGTCTGCAGAGCCCGCGTTTCTGACAGCGGTTCTCAACCTTCTGGCCCTTTAAATACAGTTCCTCATGCTGTGACCCAACCATAACATTATTTTCGCGGCTACTTCATCACTGTCATGTTGCTACTGTGATGAATCGTCATGGAAATATCTGATATGCAGGATGGTCTTAGGCGACCCCTGTGAAAGGGTCGTTCGACGGCCAAAGGGGTCGCGACCCACAGGTTGAGAACCGCTGTGGGCAGCCATGCATGGTTCTGCAGAGAGCCAAGGTGGGGACAGCCCAGGGAGGGGCTGCTTTCTGCTAATTCACACGAGTTCGCCAAGTGCCTGCAGCGGCCGGAGTGGGGGAGCCACAGGTGGACAGACCCAGGCCTCGCTAACACTGCCCAGGGCCCCTCCACATCAGGTGGGGTGACCTCGGTATAAACTGCAGCCCGGCCGGGCTCTGCGAACTGCCCCTCGGACAGGTCTCGTCACTGTCAGCACTGTCTCCCAATGTATCCTGAATCCCACCCCATCTTTACTGCACCCCCTAGTTCCAGCCCCCTCACCTGGGCAGTTCACCTGCGCCACCGCCTGGCCTCCTGCTCCCGCCTCCCCACTCTCCCCAGAGCAACCAGGACATCTTTTGAAACGTAAGCCAGGCTTGGGGGCGGGGGGGGGAGAGGATGGGGGTTAATGGGGGGGGGGTAAGGACACATTTGTAATACCTTAACTAATAAAGAATTAAAAAAAATAAAAAAAATAAAAACTGCTTAAAAAAGAAAAAAAAGAAACGTAAGCCAGACTGTGTCACTCCTGGGCGTAAGGCCTTCCCGCCAGGACTCCCACTGCACCTGGCCTAGAACCCAAGCCCCTTGCCCCCGCCTTGTCCCTGCTTGCTTCTCTGTCCTCGGCCCCACGCCCCTGCCCAGCTCCCTTCTAGCTCATGGGCATCTTCACACACCATCAACAGGGCCCCTCCCCCCGGGGGGGGGAGGAGGCTTCTGCAGGCGCTGTCCCCTCCCGGAGGCTCCAGCCCCACATCTGCACAGGACGGGGCGGGGGATCATCATTCAGGCCTCAGACAAACCCCCTTCGGAAAAGCCTTTCTTGATCTTGACCTCGCAGCGGAGCGACTGGCCCAGCTGTGACTGCCTTCACCGCTTTCATGATCGGACAAGATTTCCTCCTGGTTTACGGGGTGTTTCTGGTGGCCTCGGGGCTCCATGTCCCCAGACCACCAGCGTCTGACACTGGGAGAGCAGGTGACAAGGAGCTGTTCACTGGATGCTGCAGAGGCCCTGGTTGGGTGCCTGGGGGCAGCACCGAGGCTGAGGGCGAGACGCCACTGTGCTCTGTGCACGCAGCCCCTCCCCTCCCAGCTGGGGGCGGGGGTCTGAAGGAGGCCAGCTTATCTCCAGCACCTCTCCCCTCCCAGGGCCAAAGTCCACTCCGCTTCCGGTTCTGGGGAGATGCCACCCCTTTAGGGAACCACCTGCTCCCAGTTCACCTTCCGGGGAGCTGGAGGAGGGGGGTGGGTTGCAGGGGAGGTGAGCGGCGCGCACTGGCCTCTTGGTTCGTCTGTGACAACAGGGTGCAAGCCGAGAAAAACGCCCGTGTGTCCAAAGCTTGCATCCAGGTTCCCAGGGGGCCCACGTGTCCCCCACCCTCGCCATGGGCCATGGGTCCAGAGCCACGTCAGGAGCCTCCATCTTCTGGATCCTCTAGCCCCGTGGTCGGCAAACTGCGGCTCTCGAGCCACATGCGGCTCTTTGGCCCCTTGAGTGTGGCTCTTCCTAAGCCTTAGGAGTACCCTAGTTAATAACAGTGCACCTACCTATATAGTTTCAATTTAAAAAATATGGCTCTCAAAAGAAATTTCAATCGTTGTACTGTTGATATTTGGCTCTGTTGACTAATGAGTTTGCCGACCGCTGCTCTAACCTGATAACACTGCTTACTACCCACTGGTTGCCAAAGGCGTTTTACACACACAACCTCATTCAGCCTGCCAAGAGGATTACAAAAGAGGAAGCCCATAAACCAGGGGTGGAGAGGGCTGCACCCAGAATCCAGGCCACACTGGCCCACAGCAGACAGATGGGGGCAGCGCAGGAAGGGGGTGGGGGTGGGGGGGGCGGGTAGCCCAGAGGTGCACAGGAGACCAGGAGAGGGGGCTGGAGGCCGAGTGAGCAGAGGCTTTTGAGAAGGAAGCAGCGACCAGGGTCAAGTGGTGCAGGGCGGCCAGGGCACAAAGGAGCCCGGGGCTTTACCCAGAGGCAGCTGGTGACCTCCGGAGGGGCAGACGCCAGCCTGGTGTTGAGAGGGACACAGGAGCCCACTCGCGCTCAGGGGACGTGAGCTTTTTGCCTTTAAGGTGAAACTGGCTCCTGCTCCCGTGGCCAGGAAGAGGACCTAGATGATGCGGGAGGACGTGGGAGGACCCTGGGCGATGGGGAGGGATGCAAAGCGGAGGCCAGGGCTTCCTCCCCTGCTGGTAGGAGGCGAGCTCACCTGCTGGAGGTGGGGTCAAGGGTGCTAGGAATGCAGGGCCTGGACTAGGACTCTGGAGAAGGGGCGGAGAGGCTCCCCAGCAGCCTTTTCGGCCGCGTCTAAGCAGGTCCCACGCAGGTCCCAGGCCGATGCTTTTCTCCTGCAAACCCTGTTATGGATGGAGGTGGCCGTCTCCACCAGGGCCGGTTCGAACCCTAACACATGGATCACGGAAGAAAACCGCTGCATAAAAGCCAACAAAAACCTGGCAAACAGACCAAAAGGGGGCCACAGGCCTGTATTTACGGTAGGAGAGCGCGATCGCACGGAAGCAGACACATCAAGGCCCCGCAGAAAGGACGGGAGGAAACCAGGAACTTCAACTGTTTCCAGGTAAGATGACTGGGTGGCTCCAGATCCAGGTCTGGTTCTGCTGCAAAATAAAACCACAATGAGACACCCCTTCACAACCATGATGACAGCGATAAAGACAACCACAACAGACAAATACAAGCACTGGAGGGGGTGTGGAGGAGCAGGAGCCCTTGGGCAGAATGTGAAATGGTGCCGCCACTGGGGGAAAGCATGTCTGCTTCTCAAGAAGTTAAGCGAGAATGATCACAGAGCCCAGTAATTCCACTCCCAGGTGTGTATATGCCCCAAGGGAATAGGAACAGGTATTCAAACAAACCCTTGTATTCAAACAGGTGCTCAGGCTGTTCCTAACAGCACTGTTCACAACAGCCAAGAGATGGAAGCAACCCGACCCAACGTCCCTCAACCAACGAATAAACAAACAGTGGTGCGCCCACAGGACGCCTTACCATTCAGTCACGAGCAGCAATGAAGGGCGGATAGATGCTGTAACTCGAATTAACCTTGAAAACATTACACCAAGTGAAAGAAGACACGTTGTGAGTCCGCATACAAGAACTATCCAGAAGAGGCAAATGCATGGAGACAGAAAAACAGATTAGTGGCTGCAAAAGGGATGGGAGGAGGGGGAATGAGAAGTGATTTTTAATGGTTCTGGGTGTTCTAAGGTGAAAAAGTTATATATATTCTTACTGATTTCAGAGAGGAAGGGAGAGGGAGAGGCAGAAACATCAATGATGAGAGAATCACTGATCGGCTGCCTTCTGCACACCCCACACTGGGGATTGAGCTCGCAACCCAGGCACGTGCCCTGACCGGGAATTGACCCTGAGCCACAATGGCCGGGCATGTTTTCTGTATTTTAAAATGTGCCTTAAAAATTTCTAATACAAGATACTGTAAACCAAGTAAAAGGACAACCTGATGTCTGGGCGGTGCGGCTCAGTGATTGAAGCGTCAACCTACGAACCAACAGGTCACAGGGTTTGATTCCTGGTCAGGGCACAAGCCCAGGTTTGAGCCCTGATCCCCAGTAGGGGGCGTGCAGGAGGCAGTCGATCAATGGTTCTCTCTTATCATTGATGTTTTTCTCTCCCTTCCCCTTCCTCTCTGGGAAAAAACAAAAAGGATTTTTCATGAAGTATGTATGACAAGCTAATAATTAAACTCATATGAAAGGTACAAAATAGTCAAGAAAAAGCATCAAAAGAACAGGGAAGATCTGCTTGTACCAAAATATATTTTAAAACTATAATTTAAAATGTAAAATTAACAGGTACATGGAACAGAATTCAGAAGCAATCTCATATATATGTGGAATTAAGCAACAGCCATAAAGAAAAAAATGGAATAAAACTGGTAACATAGTTTATAACCTCTATGACCAAACACAGTCTCTCTCTCTTTCTCTCTCTCTCTCACACACACACACACCACCATAAACAAAATTAACAGACTAGCAATAAAGTAGAAGAAAATACTTATATGTAATGTATGACTAGTATACAAACTGTTTTAAATGTTCATAAATCAATATAAAAGAGTCCCCAGTTGAAAAATGGGTCGAGGACACAAATAGGCAATTTATTGGAGAGGAACTACAAATGACCAATACAAATAGATGCTTAATCTTATCACTTATCAGGGAAACACACACAAAAAAAAACCCAACTACTTCACTTTTCACCCAGCAGATGGACCAGTTTAAGTTAGATAGTATCAGCTGTTGACAGGGCTGGACTGCACGGTCGATGAGAACTCATGCACAGAACTTAGGACCCAGCAATTCCACTCTTGGTACCTACTCCTGCAAGGCTCATGCAGATTTGCAGAAAGACATATGCAAGGGTGTTCACTGGGACACCACTTACAATAAAAAAACGGAAGTACTCAGCCGGTGGGGCTCAGCTGGTTGCATGTTGTCCCAGGCACCAGGAGGTCACCGGTTCCATTCCTGGATTCCTGGTCAGGGCACATGCCGGGGTTGTGGGCTCGAATCCCAGGAGGAGGCATGCAGGAGGCAGGCGATCCATGTTTCTTTCTCATGGATGTTCCTATCTTTCCCTCCCTCTCCCTTCCTCTCTCTGAAATCAGTAAAATCATTAAAAAACAAAGAACAAAAAACCCACAACCAACCAACCAACCAACCCAGAAGCAACCTAAAATGTTCATTAACAGAAAAACGCCCGGAGAGCCGCTCTACAGATGACAGCAGATATGAAGAACACAGGAGACTCTACTTACAGGAAAAATTCTCCAACACAACCTGGAATTTTAAAAGTTGCAAAATGTAGGCCGCCTGAATCCTGTTTACATTTCGGTGTCTTGCCATGCACCCCTCCCCCGAGTTGCATGGAGATATTTAATCTTGGCGAAGAGTAGAAATAGTTGTAATTGTATAGACATGCCATCAGAGAAAGGTCTTTAGAAACCAGCATTCGTAATCGAACTTGTACTTGCTCTTTTCATAAACAGACTGGCAGTATATTCACCGGAGGGCCGAACCTGGCAGTCACACAGAAGCTTTGGTTATGGCTCTGGGATGAGTTAACCGCTCCAGTTTATACCTTCGCCCCCCCAGGCTGGACAGCCCGAGTCCAAATGCCAATGTCAACCTGGGAAAGTGAGCCACTTCGTTTCCTGGCACTGAATGAAGTGCCCGAATCACGGAACAACTTACAAGCGGCACCTCAACTAATAAAAATGGAGCAAATGCTTTCCTCTTTCATGACAAAACAGACCTAGCCAACAAGCACCCGAAATAGTAACAATGCAGTCAAAATAAGGGTGTTAAAAAGGACAGTAAGCAACTGGGTCTTTCCGAAGCTTTCACTAGGAAAGATGAAGAATCCTGGGAAATCTATGCGAGAGAGAAGTCCAATACGGATCTCATTCACATCCTGAGGTCGGTACAGGGACATGAAGATTGCCTCCACCCCAAGTAGACACGCATGTGCACCTTCTTAGGTCGCTGACAGGAATGTTTTTATTTTGTTTTTTTCAATATATCTTTATTGATTTCAGAGAGGAAGGGAGAGGGAGAGAGAGACAGACAGAAACATCAAGATGAGAGAGAATCACAGATCGGCCACCTCTTGGCACGCCCCCCACTGGGGACTGAGCCCACAACCCAGGCATGTACCCTTGACCGCAATTGAACCTGGGACCCCTGAGTCCCCAGGCCGACGCTCCATCCACTGAGCCAAACCAGCCAGGGCCTGCCAGGAATGCTGAACTGAGAAAAACCTGGGGACAGCCGCAAAGCTGGCTTTGGTTGCAGACTGTTGCACGCTAAGCCCCAAGAAATGATTAGCGATCACCTATGGTTCTGAACCGGCTGCTTCTTCCTCGGCCCTGACGGATGGCTCAGGGTCGGCAGCACGGCTTCCTGCACTGTTCTCTGGTCTGGCGGCAGGGTCCCCAGCACAGCCAAAGCCAAGATGATTTCATTCTGTCTCCGAATCTCAGAAGAAAAAGAAAAATCCATGTCTGAGCCTCTGCACGCCAGCGGGGTGGGCACGCTCCTTGGTGCCATGCTCAGGGGCTGTGCTAAAGCGGCCGCCTCCATGGACAGCAGGACAGGCCACCCACAAGCGGGCAGGGGAAATCATCTTTTTATTTTATTTTTTTATATAAAATATATTTTATTGATTTTTTACAGAGAGGAAGGGAGAGGGATAGAGAGTTAGAAATATCAATGGGAGAGAAACATCGATCAGCTGCCTCCTGCACACCTCCTACTGGGGATGTGCCCGCAACCAAGGTACATGCCCTTGACTAGAATCGAACCTGGGACCTTTCAGTCCGCAGGCTGATGCTCTATCCACTGAGCCAAACTGGTCAGGGCGGGGAAATCATCTTATAGAAGCCAGTGCTTTCCATTCACCAGCAAGTCTGAAAAGTTTTAATCTGTTTAACTCATGAGGTTAATTCACAGCAAAACTTAAATAATCAGCCAGAGATGGTTTGCTCGTTTTCTTAATTTTTTAAAACAGAAAAGATCATTTAAAACATTCCTTCTTGTCCTACCCAAGTGATGAGATGCAGAACTAACACTTCAGAGAGGGACTTATCAATGAAACATCAACAAGTTACAGATAAACATTTTAATTGATTAAATATATATTTTCCAAGATCTCTTTGAAATCGCATTTGAACTGTACTAATCAACAGCCAAAGGCAATATAAAAGTTTAAACCCACAATGTTCTGACATGGACACGTGACAGGAACCGCTGCTATGTGAAGTCACACACACTGCTCCCAAGAACAATAATATTTTAGAAGGTAATTCATCTTAACATGTGCAAGGACAAGTCTGTAATCAAAGGCTGGAAGAAATATATATTAGTGCCTGCTTTTTAAAAGTTTATTTTACATTTTAAATACAGTATTTTCTCATTAAAAAACCAAAACAAAACACAACAAAACAGCCCGGAAGTGCCTAACCCCGTGGTTTCTAGACCGTATGTACATGAGAGCTGACGGACAGCTGACAAGTGCTCTAATGTAACAGTGTGAACGTCTATGAGCTGAAACTAATCAACATGAAAAAACACAGGTTAAGCACTTCTTAGGAAAAATAATCCAGTTTCCAAACAACAGAAGAGAACAGTTAGGTATGTACAAAACCAGGTATTAAAAAAACAGAAAGAACGCAGCACACAAAACCAACAGCCCCTTCCTTATGTAGTGAACTGTACCCACTGCAGGGGAGCCCGCCTACAGAGTGACTTAGGATCTGACATGTAAAAAATGGAAGTATTTCAGTAACAACATAGAGTAACATTACGTGTGTATATTGCCATCGTTGCCATTTTCTATCTGTACTACCCTCCCTCTGAAAACAAGAATCTCTAGACTAGTCAATCACTTATATATATCGGAGGCAATTAATTAACCCACATTCGTTTTCAGTGAAGAGAACGAAGGTATACCTCTTCCCATCAATAAAAACATAATACAGACTAAAGCCATAAAAAATTTAAGCGTGGGCATATGCACGTCCAATTCTCTAGTAATTCCAAACGGAAATCCTGTAGGGTTTGTGCCTAAGGAGTAACAAATTAAAAATGAGCCGTCTCTGGCAGTGATCTCCACATAGTGCAAAGTTATTCTTCATACACTGAATTATATTTAAATGATTTTCTCTATTTTTAATTCAGTGGGTGGCAATTTGAGTTTACAAAACTGTTTATGTAACTCTATGCTTGGTAGAAAGCAGTTTCAATGGGAGATGCTCTTACACAAAGCCAAATCAAGACAAAAATGAGTGGCTTTCGGTCTGCTACGGGCAGTATCCACACCAAATGAAGGGGACCGCGGGCCGTGAGGCGAGGGTGTTGGGGTGGTCTACGTGTGCTGACACTTGCGTCAGCAATCGGGTGTGGACATTCTATTTTAAGATCATCTCAGAAAGTAACTCCCTGTAATGTAACTCTGAACTAAGCAGCTGATCCCAAAGCAAAAACCAATCTGGGTCATTCACAACCACATCAAATTGAAGCAATTATTTCCCACTACAATCTGTGAGGTCTCGAGTTTTTAAGTTTTAAAAATCGTGATCTTCCCAGTTGTGTGCCTCGGGTAGAACACTAACGTAAGGGTTTCACGTGAGGGCGCTGTAACGGTAGGCTCCCATAAACACATGGGGCAGGTAGCAGGGGACTAACCCAGCGGGATGTTTATTCTGGAGACTTTAAAGATGTAACACGCAGCTCATGGAACTTCCGCTTCCTCTAGGGATGCTGCTGGCCGGCACTGAACAGCGGGCTAAGTCTGAGGAACCCCTTTCACCCCGAGGATTAATGCTAGAGTCTCCAGGAAGTCCCGATTCTCAACAAGAGTTCACAAACCACCAACCACCACAAACACTGACTGCAATGCTCCACAAAAGTCAAAAGAAACCTTCCAACTAAATGCCATCTCCTGCCCAGCCCTAGACCCCGGCTCTGCAGTAACAGCTTTATCTCGTATAATAGACTCTGTAGTAGACTGACTTTGACCTCCACAAAGAGTAGGAGTTGTCAAACTTGAGGAGGTAGACTCCTCTCCCTGGGTATTGGTGGCTGCCGGCGTACACCTCTTCGTGACAGTCCCGTCGGTACACAGGCACAATCTCGTCCAGCAAGGGCTTGTTGGCATTCTTTTTGGCTTTCTCTTCAGAAGGGATGTTTTCTGTGAGAAAGAAGAGAGACAAATCATGCATTTCCATCAAGCACTGAAACTCCATCCTTTCTTTCAAAACTGCCTGTTAGGAATTCACTTAAAAAAAAAAATTCGCTTGCCCTAGCTGGTTTGGCTCAGTGAGTGGAGTGTTGGTCTGTGGACTGAAGGGTCCCGGTTTTGATTCTGGCCAAGGGCACATGCCTGGGTTGTGGGCTCGATCCCAGTGTGGGGCGTGCAGGAGGCAGCCGATCCATGATTCTCTCTCATCATGGATGTTTCTCTCTCTCTCTCCCTTCCTCTCTGAAATCAGTAAAGATCTATCACTCACTCATTCACACAGATGAGTCACTGCTATGTGCCCAGCTCTGCCTGGGCCCTGGGAGCCCAGGGGTGAACATCTGGCTGTGGAGCGGCTGCATCCTCTCCCTCTCTGTACTCTAATCACTGCTCCTATTTGTGAGCCTCACTTTCCCCTTCCAAGCCATTCAATTCCCAACTGGAAGGACCTCCCTCATCTGCGTAAGGCCACAGACTCCTCCTTCTGCTCACCAATCTGGAAGTCCTCTCTGCTGTTGGAAGGGAGGGCACCTAGGAGCACTATTATCTTAAATATAAGGAATGAGATGAAAAAACCGTAAGAGGTAGGCACTCAGAGACACTCTGACAGTTCAATTATGTTCACTAGGCCCGTGTAATCTAGGGATGATCCCAGTGACAGAAATATGAGCTCTGGTTCTCGGCTGGCCCCAGTCAATAGTTTCCGTGTAATGACATAAGGCTAGAGGAGAGGAAGATAGATATAGAAACCTACAGGAGGGAGACAATTATACACCAGTTCAAAAGTCCCAGCTTAACGTATTAAATATAAACAGCCTCAAGGAAAATAGGTCAAGGGAATGTTCAGCGAAGATAGAAGACTTTCAGGTTTATAACACGGCAGAGTGGATGTGGTGACTGTGTTAGCTGCATGGTGACTGTCAATGGCTACTACCAGGAATTATAACAAAAAAGTCTGACCAACTCTCAGAGTCTAGAGGCGCCTGAGGCAACATGATCATGAACTCTATGCCATGTGGCATCCTCGATGGGGTCCTGGACATTAGGTAAAAACTAAGGAAATGTGAAAAACGATGTACTTTAGTTAATAATAATGTATCAGTACTGGTTCATTAGTTATGATGAATGTACCACAGTACAATGTACAATATTAACAACAGGGGAAATTGGGTGCAGGGGTGGGGAGGGTGGGGGTGTAATATGGGAATTCCATGTACTATCTTTGCAACTTTTCCTATCAGTCTAAAAATAATCTAAAAAAGAAAGTTGTTAAAAAAAAAGAAAAGATGCCGAAACCGGTTTGGCTCAGTGGATAGAGCGTCAGCCTGCGGACTGAAAGGTCCCAGGTTCGATTCCGGTCAAGGGCATGTACCTGGGTTGCAGGCACATCCCCGGTAGGAGATGTGCAGGAGGCAGCTGATCGATGTTTCTCTCTCATCGATGTTTCTAGCTCTCTATCTCTCTCCCTTCCTCTCTGTAAAAACTCAATAAAATATATATCCAAAAAAAAATTAAAAAAAAAAAAATTTAAAAAAAGAAAAAAAAAGAAAAGAAAAGATGATATAAACAGGCCCAAATCAGATCACAGCAATACTTAAAAATTAATGTCCTTCATTTACAAATGAGAAATACAAAGCCATTCCAAATGTTCACTGTTGCCTAAAAGGATATCCATGAAACAGATCATTGGTCCATTAGTTCAAGACCCAAATTTTGTTCAAAATCTGTAAAACTAAAGTTACTAGGATGGATGAACAACGCTCCTTTCCTCACTTTAAGCAAAGACTTGGGACTTGGAAGCAAGAAAGTGGAGACTTACAGTAGGAAGATGGGTTACACCCACCACACTTCAGAGAAAACAAACTCCTCTTTCAAGACCGAACGGAGAAAAAGCCACAGCAACAAACAAAAACCCGGACTCCTATCTACCTGAGCCGAGAGGATCCCCAGGAAACACAACGTGGACAAGCCTTGGTGGCTCAGTGGCCTCCACCAGGAGGCACACGCATAGGGACCCAGGAGCTTGTGAGCTGCCTCTTCCAACAAGAAGTTGTACGCACGCCCAGCAAGCATTTCCTGGGGGCGAGCAATGCTCACTGTGGCTACTTCACATTAATACAGAGGTTTCATGGTTAGTTTTAGCTGCCAATTGTTTTAAGGTTCAAAACAGCACCAGGAAGGTCATGCCATCGTCCACTGAGGAGCATTCTAGATTAGATTTGGGATATCAGGGTTCTCACCTCTAGATAGGTCCCAGCCATGTTTACAGTGCTCCTCCCAATAGCAATAACCCCCAAATTATTATAGCTGAGGGCTCAGACTAGGAAGGAACCTACTTTTAGAAGCTCTTCAGCAGGCAAGCCAGGAGAAATACTCCTGTACCTGCTCCGGAACAGAGAACTCTTCTGTTACTTACAAAGCTCTCTGTAAGTAGAACTATCTGCGCGCGCGTGCACACACACACACACACACACACACACACACACACACACGCACACACACTTTCCTTCGCAGATGCCTGCCAACGGTCTGATCGCCTGCCAACGGTCTGATCGCAATGAGTCCCTGTGATGACCCAGAAAGGCCGGCACAGGCTCAGTGCCGGGTTCTGAGGTCGCTGAGACCGTGGCCCTGGCACCTGCTGCTCAGCTCTCTGTCTCACTTCTTTTTGCTTTTCCCTCTTGTATCTTTTCTTTCGGGTTCAGTCAGGAACATGTGTGGACAACGCTTCATCTTGCAGGTGGCCCTCAGAAATGAAGACGGCTGGCGACAAAACGCCATGGGAGGCACAGCAGCTCCGAAAGGACACTGCCCCGTGTGTTTCCACGCGTGGCCCAGGCTGGGGCACGGTGCGGTGACATGATTGTGCTGCTCAGAAGCTCACGGAACTCTGAGCCTCCCGCCACACACTTCCCCCGACCGGCTGCCTCTTTAAAGTGACCCCCTCTAGTCTCCCAGCCTCTTCAGGAACGAGCGGCCAGTCTACAAGCGTCTGAACAGCGGGCTCCCAGGACCCACGAGAAGGTGCTTTCCATTCTCACCGTCAGCTCCCTCCATGTCACTCTCCACCGCGGCAGCAAACACTGCAGTGCTTACTAGGCACCGTGCACAAAAGCCCCGAGTTCTAGCCTGCTATGTGACAATACCGAGGAGACCATCTTCTCAATTAACAAGCAATACATTTGATAACCTACTTCCTAGACCAGGGGTGGGCAAACTTTTTGACTCGAGGGCCACAATGGGTTCTTAAGCTGGACTCAGAAGAAGGAGCTGTGGCCGTGTTTCCCGACGTTGCCATGTAAACACTGCTGCTGGTGAAGGAGCGGAGGGGAGAGCAAGAGAACCCTCCGCTCTTTCGGCTCCGCGGGCCGGATAGAACAGCCGAATGGGCCGGATCCGGCCCGCGGGCCGTAGTTTGCCCACGGCTGTCCTAGACTGTCCTTGGAAACAATTTTGCCCACTCAGAGCAAATAAAAAATTACCTTCTAGTGAAACAGGGAAGAGCGAGTGATTTTTAAAATTTGTATGTCTTGTAGGATGTTCTAATGAGTTTCTGTACTTACATTAAAATTTTTTAGAATAATGACCTAAAAAGCTAACACCAGAAACAAATTTAAATAAATTCCGAAGTTGGCAGAGTTTCTTGCTTGCGCCTTTGAAATTTTTCACAATCACCTTGCATGTTTAGCTTTCACACACACAAGGCTGGAAGTAAAATACTATTCAGGAAGCAGAAATGGCCAAACCAATGGCCAAACAGACCTTGTTCAGGCACCAGTCCCTACAGGAGCTGGCCTCTCACCACCTTCCCAGCCAAAGCCCCAACCCTGTAGGGAGCGATCCTGCCTGTGAAGTGTTAATCAGGAAGCGGAAGGCTGGCTGACCTCTGAACCGCTGCCCCTTCTGCCAAGACACAACCCAGCAGCGACTGAATATGGACCAATGGCTCTACCTTCTTCCTCCTCCTCGTCATCGCTGGATTCACTGACATGCACGCTGACAGTAGTGTTCGGAGAGTCTGTCCATTCAAAATATACCCCAAACCCAATGTCATAACTGTCTGTGGCAAATTCCCAGAAGAGATAGGATCCTTCTTCGTGGGTGGGTACGCGAACAGTGACCACCTCTCCTCGGCCCACGGTGATCACGGAATCCGCGTCCTGCCGGATCTTCTCCTTAAAGTCTTTGATCTGGGGTCGCGTCCACATGGATGGAGCTGCTATTACTGGAAGAGAGTCTGAAGACAACAGAAATTACAACAGCTACAGGGGAGGAGCCGTCACCTGAGGCAGCCCAGCCGCATGCAGGCACCCAGGGCGACACGGTCTACCGGATGGAGGACTCAGAGGCACATAAAGGCCCCCAGGGAGGTCTCCCCAATTTACTTCCCTGAACAATGTCACAGGTGCCCAGAGGTCAGCATGCCACTTCAAGTAAGACATGTGATCCGAAATCTTACACGTGATTCCCCCGCCGCCCTCCCCGACATGCTAATTACATGTGGGGATTTAGAAATAACCGTGGGAACTTCCTAGCTGGGCCTTTATCAGTTTTTATCTTATCTATAACAAAGAAGAAAGATCTGGCCTTAAAAAAGAAGGATCCAGACTTAGAAATAAATTCACTTTTGGATATGGACTTTGAAAAAGGTCTTCATCTCTCAGTAGCTCAAGTTCCTAGAAGTTATTCTCGAGGAACTCAGAGAAACAGAAAAACTCGGGCAGAAGTGGAACTGCCAGGGACTCAGTAAGGAGGAGGCAAGTCTTGCTGCTGAGCAGTCTCCACACGCACTGGACTACTCAACGGGTTTCCCAGAGTTCATCACAGAGCTTTCGACCAAGATTCATTTCAAAATACTGATATATTGTTAACAGGGGAAAAAAGGGGGGGCTGCAAGCTAAGGCATTTCAAAGTCTTTTCTGACACCGTTTTCTGTTACTTGCTCTAAAAGACAAGGAAGAGCTCTGAACCCGCCGCCCTGAGCACTGGCACCGAGCGCTCCTCTCTCCGTCTTACTGAGCTGACGCCCATCTTGCTTCTGATGTCTCAGCTCAATGGTCCCTTCCCCAGCAAAGCCTCTGGCGACTTCTCTGACTAGGTCACCTCCCCATGTTACACGCGCTCAAACGATAATAACCCTCTCTCTCCATCAGTGCTAACCAGAGCCATGATTTACAAGTGTGTGTGCAGTTTGCCTCACCCCAGTACTCCTAGCGCACAGGAAATTTTCAGCCAACTGCTGGATGAATGAACAAGTTGCCCATAAAAAGCCAGTAGACCTCGAAAATGCTACATGATCTTCTGGGCAGCATGGTACTTCAGTCTCAAAAAATACACTGTAGTACATGGGAGCCAGCCTGCTAGATGGCTGCCAGTCCCCTTGCCTCGGGGTGTTCATGCCCCTGTGAGGTCACCATCCGAAACGCCCATCAGGTGGTACCTGTGGCCAAGAGAACGCACGGAAATGTGGGTGTGTTACCCCAAGGTCAGGGCACGAGAGACACTGCCGCGCAGCTCTGCGCACCTTCAGGGCACGTGCTCTGGAGGAAGCCAGCCACTGCCGCTGTGGTGAGGACACTCAGCAGCTCCAGGAGAGGCTTCCCCAGGCAGGAAGTGAGACCTCGGCCCACGGCCAACCTGAACTTGCCCGTCGGGTGAGGGAGCCCTTTGGGAAGCAGAGCCTCTAGTCCCAGTCAAGCTTCATAGGACCACAGTCCCGGCCAACACCTCAACTCCAACCTCAGGAGGGACCAGGTCCACCACCACTCAGCTAAGCTGTCCTCCATCTATAATTCAGATACATGAAATCAAAATGCCCACAGGAACTGCGTGAGATGACACATGTTTATTATTATTTTAAGCTGCTGAATTTGGGGGCGATTTGTCACACAGCAACAGATAATCAATATAGATCTGATTTCCCCCTCTACACTATTCTTCTAAGGGTCACCAGAAGCACAGATTCAGACTAAACAGAGTGAAAATGCGTGCAACTCTCGCACACATGTGCTTGCTCTCAGGTCTAGTCAATATGACCTCCTGACTTTGCTTTTCACGGCGTCTGGATTCAGTCATGTGGATGTAATACCTTTTGGTCCATTCTCCAGGGCCTCTTCTGCAGCTTCTGGCTCAAGCTCTTTCTCAGAGTTGTCAGTGTGGGTTTTGGCCTGTCCATTAACCGACATCATATCACTTGGTACAGCTGCGTTCATTTTCGAGGATGCAGGCGAAGGAGCCCCCGCCACTCCTACCTCCTGCTGTTTCTGTAACGCCGCCTGCAGTGGAGAAAGAGTGAAGACACACTGACCCGAAAGGCTAATAAAGGAGACACTTGCCCTGGAATGCGTTCTGACCCATGTATTAACACGACCAGAACATTCTGCCCCAAGAGGTTACTAATAAACCTTACCAGTTTTTATCCTATCTGTAATGAATGTTAATAGCACAATATAAACCAACAGTTAAAAGTGATTTAAAAAATCAACGTGAATGAAAACCTGTAACTGAGAATCACATTTTGTTATCTGAGGATCACTAGAAAAACTAAAGAGAAAAATTAAAGTAGGCAGAAATAATCAACACAAAATAAAATTATTAAGGGCAAAAGCTGGACACAGTGACATTTGTCCTTAAAATTGAGAGAAGAGAATCTTGATAAAATTCATATACATGAAATCAAAATGCTCTCTGAGGTAAAATGGGAGAGCAAAAACATCTGAAATCCAAAGGACAATTATTTTGTGATATTCCCTTTCCTTTTTTTTTTTCTTCTTTTCTTTTTTTGTTTTGTTAATCCTTACCCAAGGGTATTTTTTTCCATTGATTTAGAGAGAATGGCTCAGAGGTAGAGAGGAGGAAGGAGAGGGAGAGAGAGAAACATCGATGTGAGACAGACAGACACTCGATTGGCTGCCTCTTGCACGCACCCCGACCAGGGCCAGGGATTGAACCCACAACCCAGGTACGTGCCCTTGACTGGGAATCAAACCCGCGACCCTTCACTGTGCGAGCCAACGCTCCAATCACCGAGGCACACTAGCAAGGGCAGGGCATTCCTTTTCTTATATCAAGATGATAAATACTAATACCAGTAGAAATATCAAAAGTATACAAATCATAAATGTACAGCTTGATTGTTTTTAATAAATCAAACATGCCCATGTAACTAACCCCCAGATCAAGACATTATCTGCATCTCAGACCTGTCCCTGGTGCCCTTTCCACCCCACCCCCAAGGGTAACAACTATTCTGATTCATAGCACTATAGTCTTCTTTGCCTATATTGAACTTTACATAAATGGAATTGTGTAATATATGCTCTTTTTTTGTGTCTGACACTAATGCTTAAGACTAGGGGGAAAGGTATTTTAGGTTAGAATATTAAATTTCAAGGAATTTAAAGAGCTTGGCAAAACAAAGATTTCTTCATCTAACAAGAATTTCTTCACTCAGATTTGACAGGTAGTAACCGCTTTATAAGTGAAAATTACTCCAATAAGGAAAACTTAGCCAAATTGACTGTAAAGAGGCATTTTATGCCACCGCAAGATGTCAAAGAGAATGTAAAATCAGTTACCCTCCAAATGCACAAAAACTTTCACAGAGTAGCTATCTCCTCACCTTACTCCTCTGACTGTCCTGTGAGGTTAACAGGACAGGTACCAGGATTTCATTACACAAAAGTCAAGATGGACCAGCCAGTAGCCTTAAGGGCCAGGGTCCTCCCATGGAAGCTGTCCAGGCCTATGACAGCACACTGCCCGAAGGACATCCTTGAACTAATGCTAGTTACCAAGTCCTCCTGGCTCCAGGACCACTATTGAAATCTACATAGACTCAGTGGAATGACACTCAACCCACACAACTCCCAGATACACCTCGGACGATAGACCAGCGGCCACACTGCCTGTTGCTTGAGGATTACATTTTCTTTCATAATTGCCAATGCAACATTAAAGTCTCCCTTAATAAAGGTCAGCTAAAAGTTACTCTATACCTGAGGCTAATGCAAAATTCATCAGCGACTGTTAAAAAAGACCTGGGGTTCCAATGAAACGAGACACCCCCTGAGGCTGCAGGCTGAGCCGCCTCCCATACCTGCTGCTGGGCGAGCTGGACTTGATAGAGCTGCTGCATGTACTGCTGGTAGTGCTGCTCCTGCAGCTGGCGGATGAGGATCTGCTGCTGCTCGTAGTTGCCCGGGTACTGCTGGGCTGCGTACTGCTGGAACTGCACGGCGGTCTGCGAGTTTAGAGCTGCCATTATCTGCTGCCTAAAAACAGGAAAGAATAGACACCAGTCTGGCTACAGGAGAGCGGTCATGACAAAATAAAATGCCCTTGTTACTTATTTTTATAACTGACACCTCTTAGAAATGACTCAGCTAGTAATGTATACCAATCAGCATGTGTCCCAGGCCCAGAAGCAATTTAAGAAAATGAATATGATCTCTAATTTTTTACTTAGGTTCCCAAGGAAAATCTGGGATGGAGAGAGAGAATAATAATAAACACATCATCATTATCACTACCAGCACATCTGTTAACGGTTATGTGCCCTTACTCTGTACCAGGCAGTGTTCAAGGCCCTTCCCTGGACTGACCCCCCAGGTCTCGCCACTGCTTTTGGGGGTAGGGTTTCACAAGAGGAAATGGAGGCGTTAGGGTAATGGAGGCTAGAGATTACCCTGGTAGCAGATGCCAGAACCAGTGCTGAAGGCAAGGCGGACTGGCTCCAGCCTCTGCTCTAACCACGAAGCTGTGAGAGGACCGACTGGCAACTATGGCCCCACCAGGAGCAGTAGCCATCATCTCTCTTCAAAGCAGATGGAGGCCTGGGCTGATCTGCAGCTTTTCTGAGGAATGACTCAGCAATAATGCGGAGAAATCCCTGGGCTCCCATGTCCTCTGGTTTAATTCATACGCCCTGCCACCTTGAGGACCCCGGGCCTTCTTCCCAGTGTCCTGTGGGGGTCAGTCCTTCCTCCTGGACCCAGAGCTCCTCCAGAACAGCAGCTTCTGAGACAGCTGCTCTCACAGCCCTGATTAAGGAACGGTCTCAGCTCCCACGCCCTGTACTGGGGACCCCCGGCATAGGCTAAAACAACCAAACTCCCTGTCCCGGGAATGTGAAACTGGGTCTCTCAGATGCCAGCCAGTCTCTCTCTATCAGATGCACAAAAACAAAAACCATCTAAATCCAGGCTGGACTAGCCTGTGGGTGCCCAAGCAGACAGCGACGATTTGCAGAGAACAGGAAGGTTGGAAAAGAGACACCAAAGACAAGAGACCACGCGGACTCAGGGATAGGGAGCAAGCGAGCAACCTCAGCTGCTCAGTCTCTGGTTCTGGAGTGAAGCCCAAACCCTTTCAATACCCTTCACTCCTTTTGCAGCCAGATGCTGCTTAAGACGAGGCCCTCTGTGGCAACACACCACTGGCAGAAACGCTAAGTAGCTGACGCTGGTCCACCCCCCAGCCGCCCGGATCAGAACGATCCTCGGCACATAGTCAGGCCACAGCAGCAAGGCGTCCGTTTCTCTCCCCTAAGCTGAAGCGCACAGCCAGCTTACTTCTGCTGCTCCAACCGAAGCCTCTCTTCTTCCAGCCGCCTCCTCTCTTCCTCCTCCCGCCTGAGCCTTTCTTCTTCTTCTTTCCGACGTTTCTCTTCCTCCTTCTGCAGACGTTCTCTCTCCTCCTCTTCCCGCCGCCTGCGCTCCTCCTCCTCCTTCCTACCAGGTACAGGACAGAGAGAATGAGCCCCATACGGACATCCTGTTTAAAAGCAACTTCAGACTTCATTTCACAGTGACATGGACAGAAACTTTTCAGAAAACCACACAGTATCAAAATCTGAAATGCACACACTTAACATATAGAACCAATCACACAATATACAAGATCTCGGCCAGAATTACTACTACTCAGATCATGACGAGCTGCCTACCCATGCCCCAAGGCTCCCCTCGTACATATGCTCACAGCACCACATGCTTTTCCTTCAGGCTACTCCTGTAACTGCAATGAAAGCTGTGTGGTAAGTTCAGCACTACTTCTATCCGCCTTCCCCGTGAAGGTACATGCGGCTTAAGGGCAGAGACAGCCTAGCTCACCACTACATTCTCAGGGCTTAGCACAGGGCCGGAAAGAGAAGCAGCCAACACACTTTAGAGGAATGAATAATCCACCCTGAAATGCCATGCACCATAAAAGAAGGCTAGAACTGCTGGTCTAATTTGTAAAGACATTTAACATATCTGTTTCATGGAAACAAACAAACAAACCACACACACACACAAAAACCAACAAAAAACAGGTAAATATACAGAAAAAGGTCTAGAGAAAAAAAAAATGACCTTTGAAAATGTATACATCTTAATTGTGTCAATTTTTATCTATGGAGAGAGGAGTGAGATTAAAGGTACGGTGGGAAGGGAGGTTTTCAGATTGTTTCATACATAAAAATAACTTGTATTGCATTCATTTGCGTATTGTTTCAGAAACTAAAAATAACTTGAAAGCTTTTAAGAAAGAAAAGAACACTTGGAATAAGGTGCAGCCCTTCCCCAGCGCTCCCCTTCCCCATAACCCGTCTCCCAAAGGACCACAGATCCCGGCTCGAGGAGTGGATGCCATCCGCGTCTAAGAGCGTGTGGGGAACAGGGAGGCTGAAGAGGGGATGAAAGAGAAGATTTCTGAGGATTCTCAGAAAATACACTGTTTCTTGGTTCTACCATGAGTACTGTTTCTGGTTACCCCACTTTTCTTTCCAAATTCCTATTAAATAATTAACCACACACCTGAACCACAGCCAAGACTCAACATACAGTAATAAAGTGACCTACTTTTAATATTTCACAGCTGGTATACAGGGCAAATGTTCCACAAGCCAGAGCTTAAGCTTTAGGATAAAAGAAGTCTAGTCTCTTCATTTTATTTTATATTTTTATAGACTTCAGAGAAGAAGGGAGGGAGGGAGGGAGGGAGAGAGAGAGAGAGAAACATCAACGATGAGAGGAAATCATTGATCAGCTGCCTCCTGCACATCCTCTACTGGGAATCGAGCCTGCAACCTGGGCACGTGCCCCGACCCTGAATCCAACCATAACCTCCTGGTTCTTAGCTTAACCACTGAGCCACACCAGCTGGGCAAGGAAGTCTAGTCTTTTAAATGCCTTAAAGGAATTCTACATGGACCTTATCTCATGACAGAAATTTATTTTTAAAAGGAAAACTACAGTTTTATATGTTGAATAGGCACTTAAATATTCAATTTATTGTTAAAAAGGAACTTAACATCACTACACAATGCACCGTAGCACATAAATCAATTTTCCAGTAAAGGGACCTCATTACATTCTTACAGGAATCGAAACATTTCCTCTGGAGAAAAATGACCTTTGAAAATGTATTAAGCTACTTCCTATCCTCTTAAACGGGAAATTATATCCAGTGCTCTGTCTTTTGATGACTCTAGAGTTATAACTATAAGCATAAAAACTGCATGTGCCATAATACAGTGATGGAGAAGTTTACCTTTCTATTAAATGGCGCCAAACTGCCACATTTTTATAATTCTTGTGTCTATTTTTTCCTGGCTTCTGGCTTCTCCCTCATTATCAGGCTATGTTCTCTGCTCATCTATTATTTCCAATCCAGGTTCAGGTGAGAAACCAAAGAACCAACTGTTTCTAGAGTAAGTGTAATATAATCTGAACAAATTTGGTTTTATAGCGTCATTTTCATTACGTAGAACATGTAGATAGCCGAAGTTATTAAGAATATAGCCTCTGGATAAATAAGTGTTAACTACCATCCTGCTGCACTCACAACGATGCAGAATCCATAAATGCGAAGTGCATCCAGCAGCTCCCCCTCCAGCCCCTCGAAACAACGAATAAGCCATCTGGAAGCCAGAACCAACATGGAATGTGTATATAAGGCCTACCGTGCTTCACAGCCCGTGAGCATGATACGCAGTATGAATATTCTAGAAACAAGGGAGGCAGCCGCAAAGGGTGTGTCGGACCAGAGGGTAAGGAGGAGAGGGTGGCTGACTTTATGGTGCTTGCTCAAAAATTTAGTGTAATGACACAGAAGGAATGCTGCCCGTGGAAGGCGGGTCCTCTTACAGGGATAGCCAGGCAGAGGCAGCAAGCCCCAAACTCGGGAATATGTATCTGCTCACATGAGGAAGTCTGCCAACTGCCATCACTGTGGAGCCAAAGGCAGTCAGACACCTGATCTAGAACACTCCATAAAGCAGAGGCCTCAACATACTGGGCGGTACAAGGATCCAGTGCTTGGGGCACCCAAGCCTCACCTCTTCTTTTCTTGCTCTTCCTTCTCTATTTTGTGCGATGTGACGTATGTTGAGAAGAGATGGCAGCACCTGTTTAGGAGCTTGACAAACTCCACCATGGCCTCCTCCTTAGACATGTTTCCCAGCGCTGCCCATTCTCTCCTGGAAGGAATAACAAGAAAAGTCACCTCCTCGTCTTGAGGATGAGAATTCCATTAAATTGAAACCTAAACATGAACAATTCTCAATCCTAACTAAAGTGAAGAATAATTCTATTATACACAAAAGGTGCAAAACTTCCAGTTTCAACAAGCATATACTGATTTACTAAATGAGCCATGCCACGTACAACCCAAACTACAACTTAACCACTGCACTGCTGATCATTTCTGTACTAGCAAAAGCGTATCTGAATTTTACTTATATTTTAGCCTTAACTGAATAGTCAATGTATTCCTTTTTGTCACAGCTCTCTATATGTCCCAATAAGGAAATCAATTACTACATATTTTAAATGGCAGCTTTTATTATTATTATTATTATTAGGAAGAATCAAATGAAGCTGTACTTGTCTTATGTTCATAATCAGATGAGTAAGCTTCTTCCACAATATTTAGCCATAAACACCTCCAAGCCCAAAAGAGATAAACACCTGAAGACTCCAGAAGCTGCAAGCAAAAATGTTTGTTTCAGTTCTAAGCTAATGAACCAGCTATTTGCATCGTCACCAATTCACTTTGTACCGTTTTCAACACTGTTCTCGTTAAATTAATAATACAACAAAACACTTACCTCCTGTCATTCCCTAACACATCGAAGAATCCAACCTCAGGACCAGTGTCGGGGTTATACGGGCCCAAAAGAACCTGCTTATGCAGTGCCACAAGCTTCAGTTTTTCTTCGTAAGTTGGATGAAATGCTTTGCCATCTTTTTCTGTAAGAAAAGAAAGAAAACCCACAAGGAAAATAATTAGCACTGGAAAAATGCATAATTTTTAGCTGCATGCTCAAGTTTTGCTATAGGTATGTCCAAACTGCCTACGAGAGTAGAAACACTATTATAGTGAGACCTTTTTCAAATACTAAATTTTAATAACCTTTATGCGGAATTTTTAAAAAATGAAGCCAAGTACCAATATTTGTTAAAATGACTCCAGCCCTATCCGGTTTGGCTCAGTGGGTAGAGCATCGGGCTGAGGACTGAAGGGTCCTGGGTTCGATTCCTGGTCAGGGCACATGCCCGGGTTGTGGGCTTGATCCCCAGCAGGGGGCATGCGGAAGGCAGCCTATCAATGATTCTCTTTCATCACTGATGTTTCAATCTCTCTCTCCCTCTCCCTTCCTCTCTGAAATCAATAAAAAAATATTTAAAAAAAACAACAGAACAACAACAAAAAAACCCGACTCCAGAGAAACCAGTCTGTAAAGCTACAGTCAGGCACACAAACGTAAGGGTACCACTGACATCTTTTATACATATTAAACATGTTCAACAATCATTCTTTAAAAGGTTTAAAAAATACTTTTGAATCAGTCATTTTCAATATGATCACACATATACTTTGAAAGGCTGTATTCAAAACGTTCCCATCCTGCTGATGCAGTGTGACGTGGTAGGAGGGGCTCTGGAATCAGACAGCCTAGGTTTACCTCTCCTCTCAGACACTTCCTAGGTGTAGGACACTTAACCTCTCTGATCAATCAGTCAGAGAGGAGTAAGGAGTCCACTGCTACTTCAGAGGTAATAGATATTATTACTATTAAGAGTAATAACTAGCCCGGGCCGGATAGCTCAGTTGGTGAGAGCATCATCCTGATAACACCAAGAGTAATAACTACTTGATCCCTTTCCTTCCTTCATAAACCTGACCTTTTTAATTGCTTTGGTTTCCACTTGGTAAAAAGGTCAAATGAGTTAACTAATAATATGCTAAATTTCAGTGGTCAGTTCACAATGAGACAGGCCAGTAAACCAGGACACGTGGAATAGGGAAACTGAGTCAGACAGCTGAGCAAACTGGCAGAGTAATTTACAGCCGGGTACAGAAGGTGCCCTCCCTAGAGCTTCAGTTGTATTTCACCTCCAGGATGGGAAGAAAAGCAGCAAAGCCAGGTGGGCAATGCCAGGACCGAGGGACCCCTTGCCCTAGCACTGACCCATCAGTGGAGACCACGACCCTGAAAGAGCATGTCTAGAAAATGGATGAATATTCTGCTGTCCAGTAACAGGAAGACTTTATGGCCTGTGGTAGGCATAATAACAGCCACCCCCCACCCCCATGTCTACATCCTAACCCCAAATCTGTGGATACGTTCGATTATATGAAAAAAGGGAATTAAGGCTGCAACTGCCTTACCATGGACTTCCCCGCCTTGGCCCAATGTAATCACCAGGGTCCTTCTCTATGGGAGGAGAGAGAGGGTCTGAGGGAGCCCGGAAGCTGGTGTACAGCTTGTACCCTCCAAGCGGAGGAGGGACCATAAAGCCAAAGCGTGCAGGCGGCCTCTAGAGGCCAGAAGAGGCAACAGCTGCTTTCCCAGCGCCTCCAGGAGCACAGCTCTGCCCACCACCCCACTTTCTTTGAACCCAGTGAGACCTATTTTGAACTTCTGACCCCAAAAACTCTAAGACAGGAGGTGTTGTTTTAAGACACGAATTTTCTGGTAGTTTGTTACAGGAGCAATAGGAAACCAATACAATACACAAAACACATGTTCCCAAGCAATTAAAAGTAGAAATGGCTTCTAGATCATGTTCTTATTAAATTCATAAGTTTTAATAAGACAGCATAAATAATTTGGTATCAGCATTATAATCACTGTTACCACGCCCAAAGGTCTGAAAGATTAAAATTAAGTCCCTTCCACCTGAAATTAATCATCACAAGGTTATTAGTCTCATACCTCAATTGCTAGAGTACATTTACGGAGAAATCATATTTTCCCTTCTGTCTGGAGGTAAAGGTAACAAATTATTTCAAAGTCCTGTCTAGCCTTTACTTGATGAAATGAAAGCCATCAAATACATGGGTTGGGAAGGATATTAAAGACAGGTGACTGAATGGCACAACCAAAGCTCAAATCTGCCCTCCATATCTACTTGGCCTCCAGTAATTTGTTACTATATATACAGTATAGAAAAGATGTAAACTGTAACATCAATAACCTAAAATGCTAGGGAGAAATAAAAGTATAGAATTTCTGTATGCTGTGAAGTGATGTGCTTAAACTAGAACTATAAAATCTTTTATATAAGCCTCATGGTAACCACAAAGAAAAAACTGTGTAGATACACAAAAGCAATCACAGCATATCCACCTAGTAATTACTAACCCGTCTCGAACACTTCCTGGTGGTAGTAACTCACTGCCCCACAGCCGTCTATTCCATCACTGGACAGCTGTGATTTTCACTTCTTCATTCTGAGTTGATCTCTTTCTAGTCTTCAGCATTACATAAAACGCATCTAACGGACCTCAAAAAAGCCACAAAAGCCCTGGCCATGTGGCTCAGTGGTTGGGGCCTTGGCTGGTACACAGAAAGGTTGTGGGTTCAATTCTCAGTCAGGGCATATGCCTAGGTTGTGGGTTCCACAGTCAATGGCTAAACAGCAGCTCTTATGATACCGAGGGCAGGGATTTGAATTCCCACCCTAAAGCCTGGTGCTGCAAAGTGCAAGCAGCACCCAGGGATCGCTCCTCTGTGCAGAGGAGAGCAGGACCACCTCCCCTCCCTCATCCTAGACACCGAATTTCCCCCACAGCAGCTTACAATCACACTTTTGCCTCACAGAGAATATGCTACTTTTAGGAATATTAAAATCACACCTCACCCTGGCTGGTGTGGCTCACTTGACTGAGCATTGTCCCATGCAATGAGAGGTTACGGGTTCCATTCCCGGTCAGGGCACATGCCCAGGTTGTGGGCTTGATCCCCAGTGCAGCAATCAATGTTTTTTTTCTTCTTCTTCTCTCTTTACCTTCCCCTCTAATATCAATAAAAACATATTTAAAAAAACAGCCACATCGCTCCCATATTGAGCTGAGAAAAAACTTGAATGATAAATTCTTATACTACTTACAAGAAAGTATAATACAATGCAATATTGCTGCGTCAATGAGTATGAAACACTGGGAACTGCCTATCATGGCCAAAGTGCTTATTGAAAGTTGACTTCCCTCCCCATTAAGTCAACACACCCCACAATAAGCAATGTCCTTGGCCACAGAACACCAATTGCCAGGTACTATCTATGAGTTTATATATGTAATTTCTTATAATTCTTACAACCCTTTGAGTAAAGGAAAGCACGAAGTTTAAACTGAGTGGCAGAACTAGGAGAGAGCACCCCAGGTACTGCGATTCTAGACTCAGCTTCCTAAATATGAGCAGAGTAGCTCTCATTTTAGTTAACTGATAAAAGTAAACATTACCTCCTTCTGGGTGTTGGTTACCAGGGTGTGTTCCCTGTGTGAAAAGTCATCAAGCCATATACTTATGATTTGTGTATTTTTGCACAAATCCTCTGGCAGATGCTAAAATCATACATATATCCTACATAATAAAAGGCTAACATGCAAATTGTCCCCATGGGCGGGAGTTCGACTGACCAGGAGTTAGATGTGCACTGACCACCAGGGGGCGGAGCAGAACATGGTGGGTGTCGATGACACAGCTGGCAGTGGGCAGCAGTGGAGGTGCTCCTGGCCCCAACGAGAGTGGGACCGCAGGGATGTTGGAGCAGGTGAGCAGGTGGCGCCAAGACAAGGTGGATGTGAAGGGAGGCTCTGGCTGGCAGCCAGCAAGCAGCTGCTAGGGACCCTACCCATGCACGAATTTCGTACACTGGGCATCTAGAGTGTGTGTGTGTGTGTGTGTGTGTGTGTGTGTGTGTGTGATCCTATCATTTGAGCATCAATAATAACAGCTAAAATAATAAAATCAAATGTTTAAAAGCATGAGTACATAATGACATTAAAAAATTGTCACCGTTTGCTTGGCCGGCACAGCTCAGTCGTTGAGAGTTGACCTATGAAGCAGGAGGTCATGGTTTGATTCCCAGTCAGTGCACATGCCTGGGTTGTGGGCCTGATCCCCAGTGGGGGGTGTGCAGGAGGCAGTTGATCAATGGTTCTCTCTCATCATTGATGTTTCTCTCCCTCTCTCTTCCTCTCTGAAATCAATAGTATACTAAAAAAAAAAAGTCACCTTTTGAGGTTGTTAGAGACACTCATTATTTTGAAAATAGAGAAAGAAGCATTTACTTTCCTTTCCTATTTTTACTGTACCCCAAACCAAATAGTATATGAGGAAAAGTGTTACAGTGAAGGAAAGACAATTAGAATACCAACATTTTTCAATCTCTAATGACAATCATTAGGTTAGCTAAATGCAGGCTTCCTGCAAAGTCTCCTAGTATATTAATAGAAATATACTATTAATACCAATATTTTTGATGGGCACATTTACTTCAGTCCTTTGGAGGGGATTCCCTGCCACTACATCAGTATTTCAAACTGACAGCAATGTTATGATTCAGAGTAGATGCTTTCTCACACTTTACTTTTCCAGATATCTGAGCGAATCTCAAGAAAGTGATCGTGTGTAGAAAAACAAAATGAAAAAACAAAAAGAAAAACAAAATGAATCTTTCCATCAGCCCTTAATATTTTCAAGCAAATATATTAAAGAAGTTCCAGGGAGGGGGTTGGGAGCTGAGTGAAAAAAGGTGAAGGGACACAGACAACAGCTTGGTGATGGCCAGAGGGAAAGGGGTGGGGGAGGTGGGAGAGGGTAAAGGGGGGAGGGGTAATGGAGGAGAGAAAGAGACTGACTTCGGGCAATGGAGCACTGCGCAGTGGGCAGATGATGTTTTGCTGAGCTGTACACGTGAAACCTGTATGGTTTTGTTAACCAATGCCATCCAAAGAAACTCAATTAAAAAAAAGAAGTTCCATGATGTGATAAGGCAATAGGGTAGGAACTTTAAAATATTGTCCTCGGAACACCACCAGGAACAGGGCTCCTCCTTGCTGCTCATCTCCTGCTGCGGGAAGGACGGTCTCTGGAACCGAGCCGGCCTCTTACTAATAATAACTGAGTGGCCTTGGGCAAGCTCCTCAACTAAGAAACCGAGGTGATGCCTCACGAAGGGCTTGTGCAGCATTAAACAGAACGGTGTAGATGCAGCTCGCAAAACCGTACCGGGCTTTCAGCGAACATCTGCTCAGTAACTGGTGGCAATTATTACTCTGGAATTTAAAATTAATGCAACCACCCACCAGCTTAAATAATGAGGTGATGAAGTGTTACAGAAGGAAACATTCACCCCTAAGAACTCTGAAAGCCAAAGTACAACTCCGCAAGTTAACGCCATCCAAAAAGTACGAAGGCTACAATAGAGCCAACCGATTTAGTGCTTACCCAGCTTAATCTTGCTAAACTAGAATTGGGCAACTTTGCTCCTCCGCTGAAAACCTTCAGTGTGTCTCCTGTGTACCAACAAAAAGGCTCTTTACAAGGCATTCACCGGCCCACGGGCCCGACAGCTTACCTTCCAGCTCCCTCCCTGGAACTGCTCCCTACCTGCCCTTCCCAGACACACAAGCCTTGCCCTTGAGTGACTCCCGGCCTGCCCCCTCTGGAATGGCATTTGCTCCCGGAGCCCCCACAGTGGACTGCAGCTGTCACTGGGTCTTTAACTCCTCCTCTGGCCTCTCAGTTCCTTAACAGCAAAAGGGAATGGACTATTCATTCACAGTGGTGACCTAATATAAAGCTTTATCCATAACAAGGGCTCCACAATGTCTGCGGTTGAGATGGGGAAATGCTAACTTACATGTATCTGCATTTTCATCTATTATTTGACTTTTACCTTCAGAAGACTGAAAGGATAGGTAATTGACATGATGGTTCAGTCACTGGCCTGTGACCACTGCCGCAGGGATGGAACGAGAGACAGGGTTCCTGATTCCCAGCCCAAGTTGTTTTCAATGGAAAAAGATACCCATGCTTTCAAGAGTCATATTTATCCCACAGAGGAAGATAAACAAGTGTAATGCTATTGCTAATTCTTGTGAGATACTAGTACAAATCCACAGAATAGTGATCTATCCAAAGTCCTTGCAAGGCTGATAAAAATGCCAAATATTACACTGGAAAATTTCACATTAAAAAAAAGGCAGCAGCCCCTTACCCCTCTTCCCATCATTCCTGACTGCGTTAGGACCCTTTCCTTCCCCTCCCCCAATGAGGCGTCTCACATCCTAATGGCCTCTTCATTGCTAACTATGTAAAGATTCACGCAGAAAGGTCGTTTTTGATTGCTATGCTGCTATTTCTCCTTTTAAGTGCTTGGATATTGCTTTGAAAGCCTAACTTAGGAAGGGAGTGAACCATACCTATCAATGTAGCTTTTTTCCTTTAAGGCAGCGGTTCTCAACCTGTGGGTCGCGACCCCATTAAATACATCCTGCAGATCAGATATTTACATTACTGAAGTAACAACGAAAATAATTTTATGGTTGGGGGTCACCACAACATGAGGAACTGTATGAAAGGGTCGCGGTGTCAGGAAGGTTGAGAACCACTGCTTTAAGGTGACTGATAACTAGGCCCCCAAATTACAGGTTCCCTAGGAGTCGTACTACTCAGCAAAATAATATTAGGGTTAGCCCACTACATCTCAAGTCCGAGGCATCAAATCCAGCTCCGCGTGTATAATTGGACGGAAACCGAGTCTAGAAAACTTAGCTGTCTAGGAATTACACAGTAAATGGAACCCACGGCTTCCTGACTCCAAAGCAATGCTACGTTTCCCGCACACTGTACAGTGCTTTAATCTTTCAAGGATGATACCACTACCATTTCCAAATAAGACAGGCTCAGGTGAGGAGATTACCTATTTGTGTTTTTGTTGTTAGTCAAGTGGCAAAAGCTAGGATTAGAAGCTGGTTCTTTTCTATTCTGACGTACTTCTGCTACAATATACGTTAACCTTCCCGAATCTGGGAAATTACATTCTAAGAATAAAATTTGAAGGTAAAATGTAGTTATTAATCATAGCACAGAAACCATCAGGATTTTATATCTGTGAGAATGCATCATCACTACAGGAAACCCTACATTCAAGGGCCAAGAGATCCCAAATCCAAGGCTGGATTCATTGTGCAATGATGATGAGTATTTCAAGGGTAAATGTCTTTTTTTTTTTTTTTAAATATATTTTATTGATTTTTTTTACAGAGAGGAAGGGAGAGGGATAGAGAGTTAGAAACATCGATGAGAGAGAAACATCGATCAGCTGCCTCCTGCACACTCCCTACTGGGTACATGCCCTTGACGGGAATCGAACCTGGGACCCTTGAGTCCGCAGGCTGATGCTCTATCCACTGAGCCAAACCGGTTAGGGCTCAAGGGTAAACTTCTTAACGAAAAGTGCAATGAGTGTGGCACGATCAACTGTTCTGTAACATGTATGAGAGAGAGACTTTCATTAGCGTGCACGACTGAAGTTTTTTGAGAAAAAGCAAGTAACTCTTGCATGCATGCATCACCACATTGAACCACTCACCTTCAGCTGGTAAAACATGCACCCCCAAGGGTACCCCCTCTGGGGAAAGTGTCACAAATACAACGGTTCTGGAATGTGTAGGGAACCTAGCAACCCCGCTTAAAGTTTCCTGGGCTGAGGTCTCTCCTCGCCCAGGCAGCCCACGAGGTCCCACTATCTCGAAGAGATCGAACTAACGGGCTGCTCATCACTTTTTCCCACTGACAGCTCATGTGACTGGTATCGCCACCATCTGACTCAGTGAATCACCCAATTACATACACACACACACACAACCCCACACACCGCAAGCTTGCTCCAACAGCGGTTCTCAACCTTCTGGCCCTTTAAGTACAGTTCCTCATGTTGTGACCCAACCATAAAATTATTTTCGTGGCTATTTCATCACTGTCATGCTGCTACTGTGATGAATCGTCATGCAAACATCTGATATGCAGGATGGTCTTAGGCGACCATCCTGTGCAAGGGTCGTTCGACCGCCAAAGGGGTCGCGACCCACAGGTTGAGAACCGCTGCTCTTAGAAGAGACATTTTACAATTCTGCGAGGTGCACGGGGTGGGGGTGGTGGGGGAGCACTTTTAAACCTAACGCTGAGCATTCGCTCTTGGCTCACTGCTTTACGGGGTAACACTTTAACCTTCTGCAAGTTCCTAGGACATGGCGAGCATCCTTCCTCCTGGGAGTGTGACCCGCCGGAGGGGACGTGCGGGCGGAACACGCCCTCCTGTCGGCCACACCGGGAGTGCCAGGTGCTCAGACCCTGCAGGAGCGCGCGGTCCCCCCGCAGGACCGGGGAGGGTGTGCAGCCCCCGACGGAAAGCCGCCTTCGCCCGCGGGAAGGGGGTTCAGGTCGGTGGGGTGCGACGTGCCGCGCCAGAGAAGCAGAGAAAGAAACGCGGCGGTAAAACAGAAAACAATAACAATAATAGTAACAGTAATAATAATAAGAAGAAGAATAGCAATAAATAAATTCCAGGATGGGGTCCGCTGGGAGAGAGCGGGCTCATGCTTCCATCCCAGCTCCCGGAAACCCGAGAAGCCAAATCAGGGAAAACGCCCGGTCCCCTCGGGGAGGCGGCCCTCGGACGGCGGAACCGAGGCCCCAGGCCGTCAGGGCTGTGACCCAGCGGCCCAGCGGGCAGGGACGAAGTTCGGGAGCCGCCAAGGACGGAGCCCGGCTCGGGGGGCCCGGCCCGGCCCGGCGCGGGTGAGACTGCCCAGCCCCGCCGGGGCCCCCGCCGGGCCGGGCCGCGCTCCCGGAGCGGGCGGGGCGGCGGGCTCACCTTTGAAGAAGCGCAGCGCCAGGCCGTACAGCTCCTCCAGCCCGAAGCCCCAGCGCTGCTCCAGGCACCGCGCCTCCTCCGCCGCGCCCCCCGCCGCCGCCCCGGGCTCCGGCGGCCTCCCCGCGGCGCTCGGGCCCCGGCCGGCCCCGGGAGGCGAGGGCGGCGGCAGCGGCGGCGGCAGCAGCGGGGCGCCCTCCGCGCCGGGCCGCTCCTCCGGGTCGGGGCTCAGCGTCAGGCCGTCCACCGACACCTCGAGGCGCTCTGCGCTCAGCACCGCCGCCATCTCCGGCTGCTGCGCCTCCTCGGCGGGGACAGGCGGCGGCCACGTATCGACTTCCTGCTGACCTCTCACCCCCACTGGCCGACACCGGAACTTCCGGGGCGGAGCCGGCTCCAGGGAAAGGGGCGGAGTCCTGGGGCCCCGCCCCTCAGACCCGGGCTGGCAGCCGCCCTCGCTGCCACGCGCCACGCCCCCTCCAGGCTCCGAGGGTCCGGAACCCGGTCCCGGGTGCCCAGCCCGCCCTCCCGACCCGGTTCCTCCCGGAGGCGGGGCTACGCCCTCCGTGGCGCCACCTGAATGGCGGTCCCGGTGTCTGGAGGGCGGGGCGGGGCGGGCACGCCTGCTGTCTGCGCCTGGAGGAGGCTGTAGAGCAGCTGATGAATGTTTCTCTCTCCCTAAAAATCAATAAAAACATATATATTTTTTAAAAAGTGTGTATTTGCAAGTAGCGCACTTCTGAATCCTGTCCGGAGGAGGTGATCGCAAGAAGGGGTCCAGCTCTAACCGATTTGGCTCAGTGGATAGAGCGTTGGCCTGCGGACTGAAGGGTCCCAGGTTCGATTCCGGTCAAGGGCATGTACCTTGGTTGCGGGCACATCCCCAGTGGGGGGTGTGCAGGAGGCAGCTGGTCGATGTTTCTCTCTCATTGATGTTTCTAACTCTCTATCCCTCTCCCTTCCTCTCTGTAGAAAATCAATAAAATATATATTAAAAAAAAAAAGAAGGGATCCAACTGGAACCAGGAGGAAGTTCCCCAGGAAACTGGTCCTGGGGAAGCACTGGCTTGAAAACAGCTGGAGAAGGTGCCCACAGACTCCAGCTGCGCGAGTGCACCCGACCCCAGGCATCCCCTCTGGTTCTCAGACACTCCCGGGAACTCCACCCTTATTTCAGGCACCCCCTCTACTCCCCACACTGCCAGCACCAGGTGGAGAGATGGCATCCAGGTCTCTCCTCGCCAGTTTCCTCAGGTGCCAGCTGCCCATTAGATGCCGGGCTGGAGCCAGGACACGTAATTCATCTCAAGGTCTCCTCTGGCTCTCATGTCCTCCTTCCCATCACATCCTGGCGAAAGCAGGGATGGGAAATTCAGCTCCAGATCTTCCTCCTTTTGCCAGGCAACCGCTGTAACCACACAGGCTGTCGGGAGCCCTGATACAGAATTCCTGAAGGAGGGAGGGAGAATATGCCTACAGGTCTCTCCTTGCCCACTAACTCATGACCCCCTCAAAAGGTGTGTGGAAAGGGGATACATATTGGTCTCTCATTCTCTCCTCACCCCTTAGCCAAACACCCGCTCTGCCCGTCCCCCCACCCCCCATACTGGTCTCAAGGCAGAATGGAAATTTTGCCCAGGGGCCACGTTCCCTCTTACCATACATGCATATTAAGGCAAATCATGAACCGAAGGTCATAATTATAGGGAATGATGTCTTGGTTTCATTAAAATAAAGATCCTAATAGCAGGGCTGTGTATACCCAGAGTGTGCTGGGCACATGAGGGGAGGCCTCAGTGGGCATGGGCTCCCAGACAGGCTCCGTGCCCATCTGTCAGGGAGGGGCTGGGCAGGGGTCTCCTTGGCCTCTACTAGTTGGATTGGATGCCTCTGCTTCCAACTCCTCCCGATTTAAGGGAGACCCATTTTGTTGTGCCTGCCTCTCACAATAGAGTCTGGTTAGGTAGCTGCCTGTGGGGATTCAGGTGCCTCTCGCCATAGTAGCTACCTCTTGTGATCGTGCCCAGAAACCACTTGTGGTTTCTTTCCCTCGTTACAGGATACGAGTGCCTTTCTAACTGGGATACTTTTCCTTCAGCAATTCAGTACCTCCAGACCCTGTGATGGCTGCAGTAGTTGTTCCGCTTACAGCTTCATGAAAGCTGTTCCATCTGCGGTTGGTCAGCGGTGTGTGCGCTAGATGGCAGCAGACAAAAGCTTTTCCTAGTGACCTGCCCTGAGATGTTCGTCTCAAGATGCCCGCAGAAAGCAGGTATTTCCAGTTATGCCCACCAAGGTGTTATTCCCAATATGCACACTAGATGGCAGCAAATAACACCTCTGTGTTTACGTAAATGGGAAGCCAGACCTGGTAATAAACTCACTTTTTAAAAAAAGTATATATATGTTTTTATTGATTTGGGAGAGGGAGGAGAGGGAGAGATGGAAACACCAATGATGAGAGATAATCATGGATCGGCTGCCTCCTGCACATCCCTTACTGGGGATTGAGCCCACAACCTGGGCATATGCCCTTGACTGGAATCAAACCCAGGACCCTTCATTCCATAGGCAGACACTCTAACCCCTGAGCCACACCAGCCAGGGCTTTCTCCTTGAAATAAAGTGAGTGATCATGAAAGCTCTTGGAACCTAATTCTTATGGAATAAAATAGTGTGATTTCCCATTTGGGGATGAAGGCCCGTCGACCTTGTGTAAATGCTCAATACCTTCTCCCATGACAGTTCTTTGGGAGACGCAGGTGCAACCACGTCCAGTTGCAAACACTTACTACCTCTTCGATTTCCCTTCTAAATCGTCCACATTCAAAATAGTGTTTTTCTTATACTCCCTCTGCAGGAACGACCTAAGAGTTGGACATACCTTTCTATCAGCACAGTCAGGAGTGTTTCAAAGCAGCTTTCACCCCTAAGAGACGTGAAAGCAACAGTTCGATGAAACTAGGAAAAGAAGAGGAGAAGCCCTAACCGGTTTGGCTCAGTGGATAGAGCGTCGGCCTGCGGACTCAAAAGTCCCAGGTTCGATTCCGGTCAAGGGCATTGTACCTTGGTTGCGGGCACATCCCCAGTTAGGGGGTGTGCAGGAGGCAGCTGATCGATGTTTCTTTCTCATCGATGTTTCTAATTCTCTATCCCTCTCCCTTCCTCTCTGTAAAAAATCAATACAATATATTAAAAAAAAAAAAGGAGAGGCTAGTCTTGGAATTTTATTTTCTATCAGTGTCAGCCTCATGATGGGACAAGGGGTAATCATGGGTAAGGGTTGTTACTGGCCCTGCCTGGTGGGTCTCAGTTGGTTGAGCTTCGTCTCATGTACCAGGAGGTTGTAGGCTCAATTCCTGTCATCCGTGCACATGCCCGGGTTGTGGGCTCGATCCCAGTGTGGGGCGTGCAGGAGGCAGCCGACCCATGATTCTCTCTCCTCATGGATGTTTCTCTCTCTCTCCCTTTAAAATCAACAAAAACATAGTTTAGAAAAGGGATTTCTATGAACCTTTGCAGTTCTTCCGAAGCTCAGGGTCTCTCTATTTCTAATCGTTGATTTTTTTTTTTTTTACTACAAGAAACAGCCCTTTGAAGGAGAGGCAGTTTCGAAGATTCAAAACGGATGGAAATCACGGAAGAACGGGAGACGTGGATTAGCATTCACAGGTTTATTAGTGCCAGCTCACCGGAGACATGAACTGTAGGTGCAGGTACTCACTAGACATTTCATGGGTGGGTAACATCACATCCTGGGGATAGCTATACACATTAGAAAATAGCTTCTGCTCTTTTTTCTTGTTCTTTGGTTAAATGTGGCCCTCCCACCGCCCCCCCCCCCTCAAAAAAATCTTTCAATAACACTGATTTGCTGCCTTCTCTTTGTCATGTGATTTCAAACACAAGGGTGACGAGGGCTCTGTCCAGCCCCGGTCAAGGGTCACTACGGAGTTAAACTTTATGTTGAAGTTACAGTTGGTTTTATTTATTATGCCCACAGAATGACACTTCTCTTCTCAGCCTCGTGAAAGCTGGGTGCACTCAACTCGCTGCTCGAGTGGGGCCTTGGGGAGCCCCTTTCAAGGCACCCCAGCTGAAGACCGAAGAGCAATATGGATCAACGTGAACAGACATGTGGTGAAGTATGCATAAATAGTTCTTCATAGAAATAGAACACAAAATTAAATAGCTCAGAAACACAGACGCCACAGTACCACCTCCCCCCCCCCCCCCCCCCCCCCGCTCCCCATGGTCATCAAAGTCACCTGTAAACATCAGCTCACACGGACACAGAAGCAGCTCTGGCCCCGCCCCTCCTCACGGAGGCCTGTACAAAGGTGAGATGTCCCCCCCGCCCCTCCCCTCCCCACCCTCTCCCCACACAACCCCAACAATGATAGCAGCAACAAAAATGATACCAACAGCAGCGCCCCCACCCCCACGCCCAAATAGAACATTTAACATTTTGGTCAATTCGGAGAAGAATAAAAAAGTCATTTAAAAAAATGTAAAAAAAACCCCCAACAACCCCCAAATCCATTTGAAACATGACTTTTCAAAGTGTCATGCTTTCTGTAGAAGACACGTGACTGCCTAAGCCCCACCCCCCAGGTGAGGCCACAGGATGGACCAGGAGGCGCTGGGCAGAGCTACGTGACCAAGGGGGAAAGTTTTCACCGGGGTGATGCCAGCCGCTCCTTCCTTCGCCCTCCCTCGCGAGCCGGCCTGCTTTCCCACACACATCGCTGTGTGTGACTTTCCCATGTGACACGATCATTACGTGGGAAGCAGCCTGGTTGGGGCACATTCAGTATTGGACAATTCCATTCGAACCTGGGGGTGGGGTTCAGTGTTGGAGCTCACAGGGGCCCCAGGGGATGGAGCTTTGCTGAGGATATCAAAAAAGGAGATGGTTGACACTCCGTCTGGCCAAGTCCTGGGGCTTGACCTTGATCCCAGGCTGACTCCTCGGCCCAGATCTGCGGGAGGGCCGGGCACGCTCTCCAGGGTGGTCTTTGTCAAACAGCCCTGGGTTTGGAAACGTGACTCTGGGTTGGGTTCGCCTTTATGTTGTGTTAGGGTCTGGAGAACTTCAGTTACCAAAGTACTGAAAGCATGTCTTGTGGGAATACCTTGCCAGTTCAAGGATTCGCACTATATCGTATACATGGTGTGTGTGTATGTGGAACTCGCACACACTCACACATATCCATATCCTTACATATTTATTTGTACAAAACTTGAACTGCACCAAACAGGACTCAGCAGGAATCAAAAATCAAGTCCACAAACAGAGTTTCACAACACTCCAAAGAGGAGACGAACAGCTCTACTGGGGCGAGAAGGTGCAGCTTAGCGGCGGATGAAACCACCTCAGGGCCGCGGAGGCAGTCGCCTGGCCCTGTCCAGGCGGAACCCGAATCCACACTGTTGGGGTCCGGGTAAAAGACGTAGCATCGAGGGCAGCCAGCTGTGTGGCCCTGAGATTCCAGGACTCACGGACATGAAAAGAGGCAAGCATGGGTGTCGAATGGCCATGAAGCAATTTTTTTCCTCTTTAAGAAAAAACACTTGAAGTCTATTTCAGAGTCACTTTCTTTATATTCAGTAATATGTTTTTTCCCCCCTCTGAATTAATATTTGACTTTTTTTGTATTAAAATGGGTTTATCCAATGGTTCAGTAAACAGGCAGCTTTCTCATCTGAGTGGTAAGAACATTATTTACCAGGAATCATCCTCCCCCACCCCCCACGGACGCCCTCCGAAGGCCTGTGGGCTGGCGTGTGTGTTTGGTGACGGCCATTGACCGAGTTCGTTCTACAGGTCCTTCTTGGGTGCACACCTGTAGAAGGTCACGCCATTGACCAAGCTCACTCTACCATTCCTGCTTGGGCGCACACCTGCAGAAGGTCACGGCCATATACCAAGCTCACTCTACATGTCCTGCTTGGTTGCACAGCTGTAGAAAGTCATGGCCATTGGCCAAACTCATTCTACAGTTCCTGCTTGGGCGCACACCTGCAGAAGGGCACGGCCATATACCCAGCTCACTCTACAGGTCCTGCGCGGGCACACACCTGTGGAAGGTCACGGACTGCCGCTGCTGGTACTGCTGCCTGCGCCGCCGCCGCTTGTCGCACTGGCAGAGCAGCAGCGTCTTGAAGGTGGTGCGGAAGGTCTTGTTGCACAGGGCGTAGCACACGGGGTTCACGGTGCTGTTGATGTAGCACAGCCAGTAGCCCAGGTTCCAGTAGTTTTTGGGGATGCAGCTGTCGCAGAAGGTGTTCACCAGGACCATGATGTTGTAGGGCGTCCAGGTGATGATGAAGGCGAGCAGGATGGCGCTGAGGGTCTGCGCGGCTTTCTTCTCCTTGATGAGGGACATCCGCTTCCGCTTCGTGATCTGGCTCCGGGTCTTCAGAGCAAACCTCTTGGCCAGGGTGGCCTCCTTGGAAGACAGAGGTAGCGTGGCCGTGGACCTCCCCACGGAGGAGTTGGCGTCGGACGTCTTGGCCGGGTCCACGGCCGACTCTAACTCGATGGGAAGCTTGGAGAAGCTCTTTTGAAAGCGGCCTCCGTCATCCATGCTCCTCTGGGCCTGCAGCTTGCTGGCTTTCCTCTCCACGCCCGCCGTGCCCAGCTCTGGGTCGGGCACCCGCAGGCTGTCTGGGGACGGTGGCGCGGTGGAATTGAGGAGGGTGCTGTGCCCGGGCAGCTTGAGCACAATGGAGTAGATGGCTCTGGTCTCCGAGCCGATGTCCTCCTCGTCGGAGGACGCGGAGTTTTCCAGGGAGGCCGCCGCGTCGTTGTTGTTCCAGCTGTCGCTGCTGCTGTGGTCCGGCTCCACGCGCTGGGCGCTGGGCTGCCAGGTCTTGGTGGGGAACCAGAAGTCGCAGCAGCCGCACCGCCTGCGGGCCGAGCGCGCCACGCTCTGCTGTTGCAGCTCGTAGCTGCTGCAGCTCCGAGAGCTGCCCGTGGTTGGGACAAAGTTTTCCGCCTCTGCTTCCGTCCCGGAGGCCTGCAGCCCGGCCAGCTCTTTGGTACGCTTTTCCGTTTCCTTATAGATCCGCCAGTATAAGATCGTCATGATGGTGACGGGCAAATAGAAGGCGGCGATGGCCGTGCCGAAGGTAATGGTGGGCTCGGTGAGGAACTGGATATAACACTCCCCCGGGGGCACGGTTCTCTTGCCCACGAAGTACTGCCAGAACAGGATGGCAGGCGCCCAGAGGACGAAGGAGATGACCCAGGCCAGGCCTATCATCATGCCGGCTCTTTTCGTTGTCCTTTTGGCTCGGTAGGTGAGCGGCCTGGTGATGGAGAAGTACCGGTCAAAGCTAATCACCAGCAGGTTCATGACGGAGGCGTTGCTGGCCACATAGTCAATCGAAAGCCAGAGGTCGCAGGCCAAGTTCCCCATAGCCCAGCGATTCATGATGATGTAGGTCGTAAACATATTCATGGAAATGACCCCGATGATCAGATCGGCGCAGGCCAGGCTTAAGAGGAAGTAGTTGTTGACCGTCTTCAGCTGCTTGTTGACCTTAAACGCCACGATCACCAGGATGTTGCCAATGATGGTCACCAGGGCCACGACCCCCGTGAGGACGGCAATCAAGACCACCTGCCAGACGGTGTGGCCTCCCAGAGGGTCGCTGACGGTGCCATTGGCAGGACTGGCATTCCCAGCTGCCTGAGAAACGTTGTAGCTGCCAGAATCAGTGGCCGTGCCCGGGGGCAGCCCTGCACCTGGGGAGCCGGGTACCCAGAGGGAGCTGAGGTTTGGCAACAACGGCAACGTTGTATTGTTATTATGCAAGTTCATTGTGACTCTCGGACATAGTCTGGGGAGAAAAGAGAGAGAGAAAAGAGTTATCGTTTCATAAGGAACACGTGACTTCCTAAACATCAGGAGGTCTAGGTGGGACTCAAATGAAATAATGATAAATCCAGGCCAAAAGCCTTCTGTTTAAGGTGCTTTTTCCTGAGAAGAGAATTATCATCTCTATGCTCAATGCCCGTTTCCTTATCCTGACTCACACACAGCCTTTCTGCCCGAGAGTTAGTATGTTTTGAGTCAAGGGTGTTCATATTCTACTAGTGCCCTGGTGCCCGGATTCGTGCACATTGAAAGGAAATTAATTAGAAGGTGGTCGGCAGGGCGGGACTGGGCTAGAGGGCCAGACACACCCTGGAGCCAACCTCTAGAGGTTCCTCCCGGGCCGGTTGCACCTGGGGCAGCCACACAGCTTGAAGGTCATCTGCAGAGTGAGCACAGTCCCTCCGGCAGGTGGGGTCCCTGGGCCTGGCCTGCAGGGATTGGGCCGAAACTGGCTCTCTGACATCCCCCAAGGGGTCCCGGATTGCGAGAGGGCGGTTCTTGGGTGACACACCCTGGAATCGGGCTCCTTCCTCTCTAGTTTGGGGGTGCATCACCGGAGAATTGCCGCTGCCAAGTCACTGCAGCTCAGCAGCTTCTGAGTTGAGCGTCTGCCCCCTGGGGGTCAGTGTGCATCACACCAACCAGCCGATTGGATAGTCGCTTAGCCTTTTATATATATAGATAGGCACTGAGTTGACATATAGGTGCAGACACCTAAGGGAAGACATACTTTTTAAAAAAATCTTTTTATTGATTTCAGAGAGGAAGGGAGAGGGAGAGAGAGAGAGAAACATCAATAATGAGAATCATTGATCTGTTGCCTCCCACCCCCCCCCCCCACCCCACTGGGGATCAAGCCTGCAACCCAGGCATGTGCCCTTGACCAGAATTGAACCCCAGAACCGTTCAATCTGCAGGCTGATGCTCTATCCCAGTGGTTCTCAACCTTCCTAATGCCGCGACCCTTTAATACAGTTTCTCATGTTGTGGTGACCCCCAATTTTACTGTTACAAATTGAACATAATTAAAGCATAGTGATGAATCACAAAAACAATATGTAATTATATATGTGTTTTCCGATGGTCTTAGGTGACCCCTGTGAAAGGGTTGTTTGACCCCCAAAGGGGTCACAACCCACAGGTTGAGAACCACTGCTCTATCCACTGAGCCAAACCAGCTAGGGCAGGGAAGACATGCTTTTAATCCTCAGAAACAGGCGGTGGGGACAGACACTCCTATAAGCCTTCTGATCCTCGCCTCTTACAAGTGGTTCCCAGGAGGAATGCAGCCTGTGTGAGGGGAGAGGGGGGTCAGGCAGGAATGGAATGGGGGCAGGGGTCTAGCTCAAGTTCCTCTCAGGGATTCAGAGTAGGTTCCTGACCCTTCCGGTGGGAGCCGGGGCCTGCGGGTTGGTGAGACATTCTGGGCAGTGCCACTGAAGTACTCCAGGCTCCACCCCTCACGCAAGGAGGATGAAACCAAACCTGGACCTGCTGGTGCATGACAGGAGCCCCTTGGAAAGCACCCCTGGATTTTGGGAGGAAGGCCCCATCCTAACCATGGGGGTACCTACAGGTTGGTTCTAGATTTCAACTCTGAGTGTCTATTTTTTCTAGACCATTATCACTACACTAGAGGCCCAGTGCATGAAATTCTGGATGGGTAGGGTTCTTAGGCCTGGCCAGTGATCACGGCTGATCTGTGGGGTGACAGGTGGGGCGATCAGGGGGACCCCGCTGGCACCCGGCTTGTCTGGCCAGGGGCCTGTGGGCTGGGGGCAGCTCCTACATTGAGCATCTGCCCCCTGGTGGTCAGTGAGTGCATGTCATAGAGACCTGTTGTTCCACTGGTCGTTCAGCCGTTCGGTCGATTTGCATATTAGGCTTTTATTATATGGGATTGCATTTAAGATCCCATCCAGAAAGGATTCTCTAAGATTCAAAATGTAAGTCAGGAGGCCAAAATTGGGCCCATACAAGAATAAAAAAAGAGAAGAAACAGAATTGACAGGCTGGATCAGAAGGCATTCCACCTAATAACAGTAAGTATTGTTTCATAAAATTTCTGTGTAAGACACACACACACACACAGCCCTGGCTGGTGTGGCTCAGTTGGCTGAGTGTCGTCTCATGCACCGGAAGGTTGCCAGTTCGATTCCCAGTCAGGGTACCTGTCCAGGTTGCAGGCTTGATCCCTGGTAAGTGGGTGTTCAGGAGGCAGCTGACTGAAGTCCCACTCTCACATCAATGTTTCTCTCTCTTTAAAAAAATCAATTAAACACACACACGCGTATGCAGTCATGATGTAAAAAATGTGTTTTGTGCTGTGGGTCATGGTCCACAATACCCAGAAGCCCCTGCCGCAGATGGTTTGACACCTTTTATTCATATTTAAAAGGAGACAGTGAAGCAGAAAATGTGAAAAAATCATTTGAGAGTGCCACGGTTAGGGAAAAGTGAGCAACTGTCATGAGAAATCTACTCCCGTTCCCCTAGCTATCAAATAAAATTTTGGGGGATTATCAATCTATAGATACCTTTTTAAATTAAAAAATGTGTGTAAATATCCAATGTGAAAACACACGGGGAAGTGCTCAGAGAAACCTAAGGGCCAATATAAACGTGGGATCTTTTTTTCTGTGATGAATTCCAAGAAGATGAGCTCATTTTATTTCCTCTAAACCAGCCTGACTGTGCCTATCCCTGAAAAAAAAAAAATTGGGAGTTGTCAATTCTTTTTTAAAATATATTTTTTATCGATTTCAGAGAGGAAGAGAGAGGGAAAGCTAGAAACATCAATGATGAGAGAGAATCATGAATCCGCTGCCTCCTACACGCCCCCCCACTGGGGATCGAGCCCGCAACCAGGGCATGTGCGCTGATCAGGAATCGAACCAGCTACCTCCTGGTTCATTGATGGATGCTCAACCACTGAACCACACTGGCCGGGCAGGAGTTGTCAATTCTTAAACCTCCCAAACGAATTGAAAATGTGTAGGTCACTTTTTAATAGAAGTCTAAACGAATGCCACTCTACCTCTATCGTTATTTTAACCACGAAGAGCCAGGAGAAAATGACCTTTGCAGTTTGCAATCAGTTTGCTCTTTATTCTAAGAGCAATGATTCGTGCTTCTTCCCTATTCGGAATCCAGTATGTACAGTATCAAAGGGACTTGTTTTTTTTTTTAAAAAATTCCTTATTGTTGAAAGTATTACATATGTCTGCTTTTTCCCCCATTGACCTCTCCCCAGTCATTCCCACCCCCCAGCACATGCCCTCCCCCCCTAACTGTCTGTGTCCATGGGTTCTGCTTACATGCATGCATACAAGTCCTTCTTTAAAAAAATATATTTTATTGATTTTTTACAGAGAGGAAGGGAGAGGGATAGAGAGTTAGAAACATCCATGAGAGAGAAACATCCATCAGCTGCCTCCTGCACACCCCCTACTGGGGATGTGCCCGCAACCAAGGTACATGCCCTTGACCGGAATCGAACCTGGGGCCCTTGAGTCCGCAGGCTGACGCTCAATCCACTGAGCCAAACCGGTTAGGGCTGCATACAAGTCCTTTGGTTGATCTCTCACCCCCCTTTCCCCTGCCTTCTCTCTGAGGCTGGATGGTCTGTTCGATGCTTCTATGTCTCTGGCTCTATTTTAGTTCATCAGTTTATGTTGTTCATCATATTCCACAAACGAGTGAGATCATGTGATACGTGTCTTTCTCCGACTGGCTCATTTCGCATAGCATCATGCTCTCCGGGCCCATCCATGCTGTTGCGAGTGGTAAGAGTTAAAGGGGCTTGTTTTGGGGTCTGTCTTTGAACTGCCTTCTTTGCGAAGGACGTCTGCCTCTGTCCTAATTCATTACAGGATTCGATAGCTGATGTGAGTTGCGCTGGTCAGGTGAAGGCAAGACCAGAGCCCGCCACTAGGTGGCGAAGCAGACTTGGACAACAACCCTACCACAGGCAGGTGCCAAGGCGAAGGCCGCAAGGAGCCCCAAGGTGGTAATCAGATTCCCAGCTTAGTTCAGCCCCGCCGTCCCGTCCATCCGGTCAACAAACCCTCCGTAAGCTAATGTGTCCTTCAAGGGGGTAAGATGCGTTCGGACTTGCACAGTCAGAATCTGACTTGTTAACTCCGGCTACTCGTGCCAAGCTGCCAGGAGGGAAGACGTGCCCTAATATGGTGCCGTTGCTCATGTTGCGAACAGAACATTCCAGGTCGCCAGCACCGGAACAGCATTCCCTTTAACAAGGAGAAGCTTGCTTTTAAAAGTGCCCTGCTGCCTCCTTTCACAGTTTTATTCCATTTGACCACAAAGGGAAGGGTGCTGGGAATAGAACCGTGCAGCACGCCAGCTGCTGCGGAAACACCACGTATTCCCTCAGACACACAAGCCAACGGGCCTCCTGGTTATTCTGCATCCGCACCACGAAGAAGACAACCTTTTGTTATTAGAATTTCTAGAGACGTGGCAATACAAGGAGAAACGCATGCAAAGCCGTTCTTTTGCGACATTCATGAGGCACTAGGCCCAGGAGGCACTCTGCCCTGCAGGGGAAATGAGCCCTGTGCCTGCAGACAGGTCCTGCTGCTGCGTCACAACGGAAGGTTTGATTGCTAGGTTTTCAACGCTCTGAAAATCTGGAAGACTGTGCGTTGTTGTGATGGAGGATCGTAAACGATTCATTGAAAAGGCTGTCCCATGATCTCACTTATCTGTGGACTCTAATGAACAAAATAAACTGATGGAAGGTGGGGAAGCACAGGACTTGGAAGGCATGTCTGTAAGGAGGATTCTCTGAAAGGTCGGGGGCCTCCTGGGGGATCTTGCCGAAGGCGGCAGCCCCGACCTTGACTTTTTCCAAACAAGTCTCATCCCCCGGGTGTTTTACTAAAATCTCCATGTTCAGTCTTTAAAGGCCCGACCTGGTAGAAGCATGTGCTTTCTCAAGGA